CCCCCCAAAAGGAACAAGAACATCTGTGGACCTCTCCTGGCTCTATGCAAGAAAGACAGCCTGTCCCAGACGATTGCTGGCTGAGTGGACACTACCCAGCTCTTCTTCCTCAACCCACGGAGGCCCTGAGCCTGGCCCTCTCACCAGCTTCCGTATGACCCGCCCAGTCACAAGGGAGCACATGAGGTCACAGTGGCTTAGCAGGAGCCTCAGGATCCTCTGGTTCCCTAAAGATTGCCTGGCCACGCTACTACACCAGCCTCCATCAAGTGCTAACATGGATGTGGGTAGCCCACGTCAGCAGCCGAACCAGGCATTACCAAGGGCAGCCTCCAGGCCAGCCCTGTAACCTGCCCCCCCACCTGTTACCTTAGCCTCCTTTCCCATGCAGGTTCAATACCTCACATGAAAGAATGGGGCTCCCTCCATCCCCCAAAGAGCTGACTTTGGAGAAACCACTTCATAATAAGCTTCAGACAATATGCCAGGCACTGGGCCACGCACTGGGCCATGTACTTACAAAAACCCAAGCAGACGTGTTTCCTCAGCCCCGTGCCATGCAGGGAAACTAGCACACTGAGGCAAGGCGCCTGGCCAAGGGACACAGTAGGCGAGCAGGGCCAGGACTGGAATCCTGGTCTAGTCTGTCCCTTCTCTCAGGCCCTTGGTGTCCCTCTCTGTACAGTGAAGGGGTGAACCTTGGTGATCTCTCTGTTCCCATCCAGTGACAGAAGAAAAAGCTTGTTTTCCTGAGTGTGCTCCACGTCCGTGCATGTGGCAGCACTTACACGGGCTGCGGAGGCCCTGGAGGCCCCACCCCAACCAAGAATGCAAAGGCAGCACCAGCTACACCCAAGACCATCTGCCTGTTTCTTCTCCGGGTCTCTTAGGACTGGCCGGTGGCCGGAAGAGAAACTGCCGCTCGACCACCCAGGCCTGCATCCTCACTCTGATGGCCTCCCAAGCGTTTCCACTTCCCTCATTCTCCACATCATGCCTCACCTCCTCCCTCTGCCTAGACCACCTCTTTTCTTCCCCTAAGAAGCTTCCTTTTCTCCACCCTGGGCCACCTTCTTTTGCCTCCTCAGATGGGACCAGCCGGGATTCGATATTCACAGTCACAGACCGCTGGGGCCAGAGGACTCCCAACCTCAGCAACTCCACTTTGTATCCCCTCCAGAACACGCCCTGCTCTACCCAACATCCTTGGCACAGACAATTACTAACCGGGTCACTCTGCCTACATCCTTCTCTCAAGCCCTCACTATCAACCCAACATGCACTACACCTCAAAGAGGCCAAGCCTGAGATCACACACACCTAAGTGGCCAAGTCCTCATTCAAACACAGGACTGCCTGGGACAAGGGCCAGGCTCCTCCCATGCACCATGCTGCCTCCCCAAACTCTCCAATCGTGTTTTCAAGGGAGGCTGGAATTTCTGGAGAAAGGACATACGTCACTGCTCTTCCTGAAATCTCCCTTCCCATCTCCAAGGCCAGGTCAGGACATCTGGGTGCCTTCAACATCACTGTCACCCTGCTTCCGGGCAGTCAGACTGCTCTCCTCCCGGCCTTGCATTTGGGAGTAGCAGGACAACAGGAATGCAAGACCCCATCGTGGACCCAGGGCACTCTCTGACTGAGACAGAGAGGGGGAGGAGATGGTAGGGCCCCCAGAGGATACCAAGGAACCCCGGCAGTTTTCTTTGCCAACAGAACCCCAGTAGGACTTCCCAAGAACCCCAACAGGGAGAGAAGGCAAGAGAAAAGAATACACATCCTGTACCAGGCCCTCAATTCCCAGACAGTTGACAGTAAAGACAGTAGCAACTGTGCCAAAGCTCACAGTGGCACCTTCCTGCTACCCTGGGCCCAACGCAGGCTGCACAGCTTCCAGGAGGGCCAACAAGACTCCAGACCCCCATGGCCTCTGAGCGCTCACAGGTAGATGCGGGAGCACATAGCTGAAGGTGGGTGGATGGGACGAGGCTCCACAGCAGCCTCTGGGTAGCAGACTCATAACCCTAAAGCCTCAGGGCAGGTTTGTGGGTCACCCAGGCCAAGGAGACCAGACAGTGAGGCAAGGAGGGTGTCCAGACCCCCAGCGTACAGGGCAGTTAGGCCGGGCAGGTGATCATCACCTGAGCCCCAAGCTACTCTGCTCATCTTCTGCTGACCCACAGCACCCTACTTCACCCCACAGCACAGCCACTGCCTGCTCCTGGCTGGCAAGAGGCTGGGGAGCACTGTTCTAAGCATGTGTCTTCTCTCAGAAAAGAAATAGAAGGTCTGGAGCAGGAAGTGACCTGCCCCAAGCCCCCCAGGCAATCTATGGCAGAAAATGCCCGGGAGCCCAGGCCTCCCAGTGCCCCACCCAATCTCATTTCTGGGTCTGCACCTCCATGGCTCATCTGGTTTCTGGGTGCCAGGCCAAGGCCCCTCCACCCAGCTGTGTGCCCCTGTTCCCCAGACAGAGCCACCCACACCAGCTCTAGGGCTGTCCTGCGTGCAGTGGGGCCAACAGGGTGATGAGGAGAGAACGTCACAGGCCCTGAGCCTTGTCCTGACTGTAGGGAGTGGATCCTAAAGCCCAGAGATCAAGGGCTGTGTGGAACTGGACAGGTGAGAGAAGCTGATCCATGAGAGGCAGACGTGGTCATTTCCTCATTTGTCTTGTCAACAGCCTTGTCCCGCAGTGTCAAGTTCATCACATAAAGATCTTCTGCTAAGAAGATACTTAGTGAGGGTCTGGGAAGCATTAGGGGCCAAGGCTAAGGTGAGGAACTCTGAACTTCAACCGAAGTCATGTCTTTACTGGAGGTAAACCCGGTGCTCTACTGGAAGTCCTGCTCTACCGGTCCCTGAGCTGCTGGCAGGGTGCACCCAGGGCCACCAGGGCAGGCCCACCAAGGCAGCCACACACCAACACATCCTCAATGTCCTGCACAGAGCCCCTGGGCACAGCTCAAAGGAATTGTCCCCAGTGGGGGGGTCTATCCAGGAAATGGGGGGGTGCTCGGTCAGCCCCTCACACCACCCAGCCCTGCCAAGTGGGCAAGCTCACCATAGAGCCCTCACAGCACCCACAGGCACAGCCAGGAGGAACCCGCTCTGAGCCCGTAACCTTATGATGGTAACAGCCCAGACAAGACACTCAATGCACGGACCATCCTCAAAGTCTCCATCCCATTCACCCCTGCCCCCAACCACCAAGCAGGCACAAAGTCATGTCCAGGTGGCTAACCTTTGGTCAGCGGGTTCCAGGATTTCCCCCACCAGTGACATGCATTTTCAAGGGAGGGAGGGTGTTACCAGGGAGCAAGAATTGGTGCTTGGCTAGGCAGGGGGAAAAAGAAGGAACTATTAACAATGGTGTGTGACCCTCCAACTTTCAACCCCATCTGACAAAATTTTATTTCTTGGCATTTGCTACAGACTGAATTGTGTGCAGCCCCAAATTTCATTTGCCAAAGCCGTAACTCCCAATGTGACTGTATTTGGACACAAGGCTTAGGAGGTAACTAAGGTTAAAAGAGGTCAAATGGGTGGGGTGCTAATCTAGTAAGACTGTAGCCTTATAAGAAGAAAAGATCCAACTCTCTTTTCTCTCTCTCTCTCTCTCTCCCCCCTCCTTCCCCCACCCCACTCCCCACTCCCCTGTCTGTGAGGACACAATAAGAATTAGGCCATCAGCAAGCCAGGGAGAAAGTTCACAGAAAAACCTAACCCTGCCAGACCTTGTACCTCAACCTCCAGAAAAGTGAGAAAATAAATTTCTGTTTTTTGAGCCATCCAGTCTGTGGTGTTCTGTTGGGCAGTTCAAGCAGACTAAAGCAATATCTCTCTATTAGAGAGAACTCATTAAGATGGTAACAATGAAAAGGGAAAAGGTTTGAGAAGTACTGTCCTAAAGAGTCCTCCACTCCAGGGCTTGGAGTCTCCCATTTTGCAGTTAGAGAGTAGAGCTTCTCAACTGGCAGCGACTGTGTCCCCAGGGGACAGCTGGAAATGTATGGAGACATTAAGGGCTGTCACAGTCTGGGGATGCTGCTACTGGTGTCCAGAGAGCAGGGCAACTACTGAGCACCCTACAGTGGCCACATCGGCTCCTCCCACAGACAGAATTCCTACGGCAAAATGTCATCAGTGCTGCGGCTGCTGAGAAACCAAAAAACTTCAAATACTGTCACAAAACTCCCTGGAAACCAGGGAACAAGCCTCTCCAGCAACTTCTGAGCGCTAGCAGGGGCTCCAGAAGAGCACACCCAGCCCTCACAGAGCAGGGCCCAAGATCCAGAAGCCTCTCTCCTCAGTGCTGAGAAAGTGGGTGCGCCAGGCACACTAGTCTCCAACTGCCAGAGGAACAAGCCAAGGAGAAAACCAAATATCTCAAGAGGCCTAGAACTCAGCATGGCCCTTCTCACTCCCAGAAGCAGGGCAGGTGGGAATGGCCTGGCATCCAGAGTCCTCCCTTAGAGGCCCCCTCAGTGCGTACAAGAAGCAAAGCCTTCACGGAGAGGGAAACCCAGAGCTGAATGATCGCTGTGCAACTAACACCAACTGTCACACTGACAGTCCCTGACCGCTCCCACGTGCCAGCATGCAACCTCTTTACATTGGCTCCTGTAGACCTTGGGACAACCCATGATGTATGTGCTGGTGCTCACCCCATTGCACAACTGGGGAAACGGAGGCGCTGAGCGATTTATCAACTGACCAAATAGGAGAGTGACATCAGGTTGCAGATTCAGGACCACTGCATGACAGGCAATCCCCACAAATACTCCTTATACAGAGTATACAGAGTGGGTGTCGTGGCCTCCTTTTTCACCCGAGGACCCGAGACTCAGAAACATTAAGGGGCTTGCTGGTTGAGTGGCAGACCCAGCCGAAGGCCAGACCATCTGAGCCAAGGCCAGGCCACCTGAGCCGAGCCCAGGGACCTGAGCCCACTCCACCAGGTGCAGAGAACTGGCGAAGACCGGCCCCAGCCCGCTTACCTGAGAAGATTGAAGCAAGTCTGAAGATGTCCGAGAGGCGTGAGGTCACGGGCTCATAGGGTGAGGCTTCATAAAACTCCTCACCTGGAAGAGAGAACCAGCATCAGGCACAGTTCCTCCCTCCCAAAGTGCCACCTGAGAGGGGCAAGCCGAACATTTCACACGAGTGAGCTATTTCTCTCCAAGTAGGGCAGCAATTCCCCAGAGCGGGGCAGCACTGTCAAAGACTCCCCTCTCACACCCTCCCTGCGTGTGCAGCCCTCTTCTGAGGACGTCCTGCCTCTTCCAGAAAGAAGCTGCAGGGAGGTTGGAACCATCACAGTCCAAGCAAAACCAGACACATATCACAGGGCGTGAAGCCCAGGGCCCTCCACAACCCTCAGTACAAAGTCCTCATTTCACAAGAGGGCTCTGAGGCAGCCCAGACAGGAAAAGCAGCCTGAGGCCACCCAGCTCCTCAGAGCGGAGCCAGAGCTGGACTCACGTCACCTTTGCCTCCCAACACACCTGACAGCATGCCCAGGTCCCTATCAGAGGCAGAATTTCCTCTTTGCTTCCTGTTCTGTCACCAGTAGAATCTGGCTGGTGGAGCTGGTGGGTCCTCAGAGTAAAGGCCTGAACCCAAGCTCCCGGGGCCTGATCCCTCTCCTACCGTCTTCCTCACCACCTGCTGGCTTCTCTGACCTTTTTTGGAGGCTTTGGGGAGCATCAGACTCTGAGAATGGAAAAGCAAGCAACAGGAGATTAATGGCAGGGGGCTGCCCTGGATCCCCCTCACCATGTCTCAGCACCCCCGCCCATTCTGTCAGTGCCTCAGCATAAGAGAGTGCATCCTCCTAAAACATTACAGGTGAGGAGAAATCAATGGAAAATCACTCAGACTGAGCGAGGGGGCAGGAACTCAGGTGCTGATTCACAGCCTCACACATTGACATCCCATCCACCCAGGGCCACCCTAAGCAGCCACCTAGCGGGGAGGCCCTGTGGGACAGCACCCTTGGGGCCACCAACAAGAAATGGTCCCCACTTAGAAAAGAACCCTGAGTCCCTCCCGTAAGGGTCTTGTCCAGCCAGCCCTGGGGGCTCACCCAAATACTAAGCTTAACCAGCCCTCTGCTGGTTCACAGAACAAGGAGTCTGTCTGCTGTACCCGGAGGACACAGAATAGGTGCTGTCCCCCTGGAGGAATTGGCTTCACCCTTCTCTTCATGTCCTAGGAGCACCCTTTATGCCCTGCTCCACCTGCACCCAGAATGCCTTCTGCACAATGGGCACCCAACTGGTGTTTGCTGATTGACATCCTCCAAACACCTCTCATTCTTTCAGGCCCACCTTCATCCCACCGCCCCCTGGGGCTGACCAGGCTGCCACCAGGGGCCTGTATGATCTCAGCGTCCCACACTCTATCCACGGGCACTGGAAAAACTCCTTTCAATGGGGTTACCAGCCATTACTATTTGTTGAGGTCAAATAACATAAGAGTTTAGGAAACATTTATAATAAAAATGAGAGTGACAGTGTGCTTTCTCCACTTAGGCACTGTTGAAAGTGCTTGAGATATACTAACTCATTTAATCCACTTCTCCATAATAGGCGCTCTCATTCTCCCTATTTTACTGATAAGGTACTGAGGCAAAGAGGTATTAACTAACTTGCAAGTCACAGTGGGCAGAGGCAAATTTCAAACCCTGCAAGTTGGCTCCATAGTCCAGCCATTATGAATACTGTCTCCAAAAATAAAGTTACTGAAACCAAATTGCTCTTAAACAAGTACTGCTGTTGATGGACTTTTCACAGGATCAGGCTTCTGCCCTGCCAGCTGGCTGGCTCCCCCTCATCAGTGTCTGTCATCCTTGCTACATCTGGCCAGGCAACATCTGGGGATGGGTCCACTAGGATGACTGACCAGGGGGTGTCTAGGTTAAACAGCCTGTTCCAGGACTGGCTGGGAGGGGCCCATCCTATTTAAAACAACTGCAATAGAATTTACCAGTGGGAAATCTGAAGCCTGGCCCACAGGGCATCCCCACAGCCAGGCTGGAGCCAAATCCAGGACATCAGGTTCCTGGTCATGACCTGGGAGAAGACACATGGCAGAAGCATTTTCTTTTCTTATTGGATAAACAGGGTAGCCCTGAACTTCAGAGTCACCTTTAGAGAAGAAAGGCAGCCTGGTCTCAAGCCTCTCCATGAGACCAACAGCAATGGCAGCCATGAGTGATGACAAAGAGGGGGAAGACAGGCCAAGGCCCAGTGTCTCCCAGGAGCAGTGAAAAAGGACCTGCATGTGCCCAAGTATTGCTCTCACCACCAGTTTGCTGTGTGCAAAAGCCACCCACCTCCCTACACCTGTTTCCATCAAAACAAGAGTAGGTCCAAATGACCCCCAGGTCCTTTGCAGCTGGAACAGTCTACATGCTCAGCAGAGGCCATGTTCCTGCCACCTCCAGCTCTTTCTACTTGTGAGGGGTGTCAGCCTATGTTGACAGCAGCAACCTCAGCTTCAAATAGAGGGATAAGGTGGGGCCTAGTCTCCAGGGGGACCCTACCACCAGTAGGGGCCAAAGAGAAGCCAAGAATCTAAATCTAACCTTCTCAGGGATTCCCCTCTGCTCAGCACTGCCCCACCCCAGACCCCAGCCAGGTTAACAAGTGTCATTAAGGAACAAGGAGGCAGTGTCTGCAGCCTCCTCAGGGGGACCATTCCCCCACTCTATGAACGATGAAGTCGCAGGTAGGATCCTGTAACTCGCAGGAACATTGTTGTTGAAAGACCTCTCTCTGGCTTCCCCAGTCAGTCCTGGGCAGAAATACCTCTGTCCCCCAAGACCCAGAGGCAGGGTATTATGGAGTCCCACAGGCTGGTACAAGGCTCTGCGGAAGAGAAAAGCAGGGATCTGCCTTTCTAGAGAGGGCTCAGGGGTGGGGTCCAGGCCAAAAACCCCAGCACTAGCTGGGAGAGATCATCGCTTCTTCAGTGTTGTCACTCACTGAGGCACACAGTAGGTGTTTAAAAGATGGCTTCTGAGTAAATAAACCAAGAACCATCTCAAGAGTGGGAGAGACACTGCAATTCCTGGGCGGGGAGGGCTGTGAGTGCCCCAGGGCGGAGCACAGCACACGGGAGCTATATTTGCCGTTGGCACTGGAAAGCCTGGTCTCCGGGCGCCCATCAGCTCGGTCCTCTCTCTGCACAGCCCACTGGGTGATGCCCAAGGGAGCTGCCCCATGGGAAGACTCACAGGACCCCTCCAGCAGGTCTTCTAGCGAGCAATCCTGCCCTCCTATCTGCAGCCCACGCATGCCCACCCCAACCACTGCCCAATCTCCCATGGCTTGAAGCACAGGCTGCCAGAAAGGAAACAGGAAATACACAGCCGTGCCAGCAGATTGGGGAGCCTCACTTTCTGTGCATCAGAGCCCCCCTTGCGTGAAGGCTGCTCTGGTCCCGTGGCAGGAAGCAGGTAGCTGGATGGCATTGCTCCTGCTCTGTGTCCATGTCTGGTTCTAGGACTTGAGGGCGTTGGAAATGGGAGACACGCCCACCTGACTCATGAGGAATGACTTTGTTATTAAAGGCGTGATGCTATTAATTTTGATGCGCACAGCTCATTTCTATACTCAGGGCATGTCTGGACAATTTCACCCCAGTTCAGGAATTCCCAGCACCTGATCCCGCTTCCCCTTCCCTTCCAGCGCCCAGGAGGCCTGCTAGCACCCCGGACCATTCCAAGGCTGGATCCCCCAGGCTCTGGGTCCACCCTGCCCAGTACTGTTCCACAGAGTACCCCTCTATTCTCCACCTCAATATCTCTATCACTGCTTTGGAATTTAAATTGCTTTACCCTCTCACATCTTAAAATAATAATGATCACCCTTTGTTCTTCTTTTTTCACACCAAAATTCTAGGAGTTGCTCTCCAGTCATCATTCCCAGCTCCAAGTCCCATTCACTCCTGAGCCAGACTCTTGTCCCAGCAGCTACCTAATATGCTCACCCCAAGAGCATGAGGGACACTTTTTCACCCCCTTACTAAAGCACTTGGGGGAACACTCTTTCCCTTTGAGGCTGACACTTCCTGGGGCCGCCTGCTATCCCTCCCACCTCTCCCAGAAGCCTCCTTGGTCCCCTTGGCAGCCTTCCCTTCCTGCCCATTCTAAAAAGTTGAGGTCCTGGCCTCTCCCCTGCCCGCCTCCCACAACCTCTGCCCTGTAACCACCTCCAGGTGGATGGTGGCTCCCCAGCCTCTCTGTCCACCCACTCCCTCACAAAGCTCCTGCCCAGCTGTCTGCAGAGTATGGCCAACTGGAAGACCAAGACCTGCCCTCCTCATTCAGTCCCACGCTGTGAGGTACTCATCACCCACCTGGCATGCCCAGAGTGAAAACTGGGTGTCCTCCTTGATTCCTCTCTCCTGTCACCAAGAGCTGTTGACTCTACCTCGCCTTTGTCCTGCCACTGTCCTTTAGCCCGGAGACTCCTGGCCCAAGTCACACAGCGGCCTCCACAGTCTCCTTTCGCACACACCCCCCTTCCTTGGAACCACATAAATATCTTCCTGAAGAGAGGCCCAATCCTGTCTCTTAAGATGACAGGTCAGGGCTCACTGCTACCTGCTCCCTCCTCACCCCATCTGTACTTCCAACTCCCCCCCATACTGAGTGAATTGCAGGTCTGTAAAAGGATTCAGGTGCCTCACTGCAGAGCTTTGCCCAGCTCTCCCCCAATCTCTACACTCCCCACAAATCCCCTCATCCAGTAATGCTACTCACTCTTGATCTAAGCTTGGAGGCTGCCTCCTCCAGGAAGGCTATTTAGAGTTCACAATAAGGCATTAGATGCTCCCCTCAGTGCTTGCCAACAGCATTTCTGCCACCAAATGACAGAAACTCTCTTATCTGCATGCCCCTAGCCCCCAGACTAGGAGCTCCATGCAGGCAAAGGCTACCCCAGCTTATTCTATACTCTTCCCAAAATGCCTAACAGAAGTTATAGAACAGCCAAATCAACAAATGAACAGTAGCGACCCAGGTGGTCAAACTTTCAAAGCACATGCAAATACACCATGCTCCAGGGGGTTGGGGTTGGAAAGAGGGGGCTGCTGGGGTGTGGGGGGATGACGCTATAGATCTGCCTTGGGACTCCAAGTCAGACCTGCCAAGGGGTGTAGACCACACTGCTCTGGCCCTCAGCCCACACCAGGTAGCCATGGGACAAGGAACTTCCCCTCTGAAGGACAGGCCTCCTAGGAGCTGGAGGAGCAGCAGAGGAGCCTCCGCGCACCTTGGCAAAGCTCTACAGGCACATGGCCGCCCCTTTTCTCTCCATTCTCACATCCATCCACCTAGGAGGGAGCTCCTACCGCAACTTCTCTTGCTCTGGGTGTGGGCCCCTTCACCTTGGTTACTTCTCCTCCCCCCATTTTGCTGGCTCCCCTTCCTCTAGCCTTTGTCCTCCCCAAACCACCTCCAGGGCTGTCCCCTGCCTCCGTCCCCAAGAGGTGCTGCCCTCCTAGCTTGGGCGGCTACTTCCTCCAGGCCCTCAGGCTCCCCTGGCAGGTAGAGCAAGCCAACCAGTTCACTCACATCCAAGTCCACTTCGGAGCCTGGGCCCACCCCAAGAACCCCTTGCTACCACCTCTTCCTCCCTGGGGCCCCGCCAAGCTTACCCTCCGTCAGCCCCAGGTGGATGCTCCAGTAGATCTGCAAGCACTGCAGCTCCTTCTTCATGCCGCGCTTGCAGCGGCAGTCGTACAGGGGGCTCTCCTGCAGCACCTCCAGGGCTGCCTGGCACTCCTTGTTGGCCAGCATGGTGTTGCGGTCCCGGCCCGCCAGGCACTGCCGCAGCGTGCGGTAGCGGGAGCTGCAGTTGGATTCGGCAGCGCACAGCTCATTGGCCCGGACACAGTCCACTGGGGGGCGCCAGCCGTGGAGCTCGGGGCCCTGCAGGGAGGAAGGGCTGGCCAAAGAGCGGAGGGTCTCGTCTGAGGTGGGGAGGGAAGACAAGTGTGAATGAGAGCTCCGCAATCTCCCACCCAAGATGGAGGCCTGGGGGCGTGGGCCCTCCTGGGAACATCACTCCCATGTGCCTCCAAAGCACACGAAGGCCAACTCAAGGCTGTTCTCCCCAACAGAGCCAGGTCGGGGGTGGCGGTTCAAGCACCCCAAGTTCCCACCATCCCTCCTGAATCCCAAAAGAGACCTCAAGCTATCCTTCTGCCCCAGCTCTCCAGTTCTCTTCAGTTCCACCCTCAGCTACTCGGCACCCACCCTGGCCCAGGAGCACAGCAAGGAAAGCCAGGAGAGGCCTCACCCTCAAGACCAGTCTAAGACACCAGTAGTCCAGAGAAGACTGTTGCCAGCTTAGCAGAGAGCTGAGGCTACAGGACCTGCTGGGAGCGCAGAGGTCCCAGGTCTGGCTTTCACAAGACCCAGGCCTCCTATCAACCTCAGTCCCAGCCAGAGGTCCGCCAGAGGTCCACCCTCGGTGCTGGGCTAGGCCTGGAAAGCAGCAGAACTTTCCTAGCCTGTCAGGACCTAAAGACCACAGAATGCAGCCCTCTCATTTTACCCTAGGGAAACTGAGGCCCAAAGAAGGGAGCTGACAACTCAAGGTCACATGCAGGCTGAAAGGCCACTCTGACCTTCCTTTCTGAATTCCTAGGTTTTAAAAAGCAGACAGTCTAGCCCCATGGGCTCCACGGAGGCATGCCAGAAGGGAGGAGCTACCCTTTTCCCTCCAAGTCCATCTTTCAGAGGCCAAGTTCTGCCCCAAACCCCAGCAAAAGAAAAGGCTGTAGGCACGTCTGGTGAGACACTTCCCCCCTGTCTCTTCTCTCTTGAAATGTGCCTTTCCCTTTCTCTCACGCTTCTCTTCTAAGGGGTCAACTTCCCATCATGGTTTCCCTGTGAATGGCTTTGTTCTCTCAGTCTCTCCCTCACCGTCTCCCCAATCACTCTCCTCTCCCCTCATGTCTTTTTCGCTATCCTTTCCTTCCAACCCTGCCTTTAAACCCTCTTAAGTTGTCTCACCTTTTTTTCTTTCCAAAACCAAGTCACTGCAAGGAAATCACTTCCCACCCTTAGCACTGGCCTCACACTTGGAACCTTACCTCCCCGAAAGTGCACAATTAGTCCACTCTTCTCACTCATCACCCCCAAAGCCCAGCAGCCGAACCCAGTCCTAATAAGGCCAGGGGTCAAGGAAGAACGTACTGAGGTGAAGGGCTGAGAGAGGCTCAGATGCTTTAAAATCAAGATCCCAAAACGCTTTCCTCTAGGCAGACATCTCCCTGGTTTCCCTGTCCTCTCCAAGCCCCTGGTGCCAGACCAATCCCCAGAAAAAGCCCATACCAAGGCCCAGAGGCAAGACCAACTTGTCCAAGACCCGAGGAGTGATATGGGAGGCTTCTTCCACCTACCCTGCCCCAAATAGAGTAAGATCCTAGGCCAGAAGTCCCCTCCTCGGAACCCCACACTGTCCCCCCCATTTCCACCCAGAGCCACATCTCTCTGCTTCCCCCTTGGAGCCCCCGCTCAAGGGGGAGCTACCTTAGGCAGGGAGACAGCGACACCTAGAGGTAGAGCGCAGCACTGCATGCCTGCACTCCCACCTATGAAGGAAAGAAAGGAGCTTAGACAAACCAGGTCTACCCCACTTGGAGATGCAGAAGAGAAACGGGGAGAGGCCCTGCAGTAGAGGTGGTCTTTGGGTTAGAGCAAAAGACATACTCCCATTGGCCATACATGTGCCTCCGGAAAGGAAGAGCTAAAGGCTGTGGTCAGGCTGAAACAAGACCAGAGAAGAAGCCATTATGGAGGGTGGGCACTGACAGCGGGCATCTGCCAGGGCACTGGCTAGAGATGTCCTTCATCCAAGCCGAGACAGCAGCTTTATTTCCCAGCTTCAGCAAATTCTCAGGTTCCTGAACAAGACTCGGGTGCATCTGGGCCATCCAGGAGCAGCTGAGCTGACCCGGCCTCACACGCACCTGCTGTCCCCATCGGCCAGCCAGCCAGCCTGCTAGAGCCTCAATACCGGCCCAGGCCTCTCCCTGTTTTTCTTCTGCATCTCCAAGCGGGGTAGACCTGGTTTATCTAAGCTCCTTTCTTTCCTTCATAGGTGGGAGTGAAAGGCCCTTGTTTAGTCATGCCCAGCTAACACTGCCTACCAGCATCTCAAGCTTCAGAAAAGCCTCTGCCCAAGTGGAATTTCCATCCCAACTCCCAATTATGAGTTCCTTGCCAGGAAAAGGGTCCTGAGGCTGAAGTTTCCCTACCACCACCGTTTCCTTCCTTTCACTGACTATGCCCAGTGTCCGACCTTGACTGCACCTGTAGCTACACCATCATAGGAGGTGGACGGAGAAAAGGGCATCCATGGCAGGCTTAAGGTACGACACTAGCCAGAAGGACACTTACCCTGCCTGCCCTACAGGAAGGTCGAGACAATCAAGGGGTGCTTCTTACAGAATCCTAGGGTCCCATGCAAAAAGGAAGGGCTTCCCTACCTGCCAGTTAGGCACATGTGACTAGACTGGGCAGTGCTTGTGGAGGGTCAGGCAGCCTCTCACCAGACTCCCTGACTACCTCCGTCTAGTGGCCATCACCACCCCTGGAACACGTCAGTCCCACCAAAGAAGGAAATGAGGGCAACTCTGAGCTTCCAGCCAAAAATGCTGGGAGAGCAAAGGTCAAAGTGACTGGTAACATTTCCAAGCTTGGGGTAGGAAGAAAACTCACATCCATCAAGAAGACACATCAAACACTTCTAGATACCTACAGTGACTGAGAGACCAGAGTCACAAAGGCCCGCTTGCATTAACCGGCCTCACGAGATCTACAAGATGTATCAGCAGGCCAAAGGGAGATGGCCCTCTGACCAGCCTGGCACCCCTCAACGCACTTTCCCCAGAACTCTCAACACTGGAGGGCAGAGCGCCTGGGTCAGGCTCAGAACCTGGGGCAGCACACCAAAAGGCCCTTGTTTCATCATGCCCAGTTAACACTGTCTACCAGTATCTCAAGCTTCAGAAAAGCCTCTGCCCAAGTGGAATTTCCAACCAACTTCCAATTATGGGTTCCTTGCCAGGAAAAGGGTCCTGAGGCTGAAGTTTCCCTACCACCAACCTATTCCTTCCTTCTTGACAGCTCTAATCCTGAGCCATGTCGCCCAGCTGAAATCTCACTCTAGTTTTCAAAAGGGACTTCTCTAGCGAAGGGAACTGAAGGACTGTGACCAAAGGGGCTACTGACCCCAGGTCCTCCCCTACTCTCATCCCAGGAGCGGCAGACCCCCAGTTAGGGCACCCATCTGAACAGAGCCTCTGGCATGCATACTCATGTGCACATGCATTCCCCCCACCAAACACACACTCTCACACACTCACACACAGCTACACACATACCATGAGAACAGACTAGACTCCTGAGTTTCTCAGCTAGGAAAAGCCTGCCTGCAACAGGGGTGTCTGGGCCTAGAGATGCCCAATGATCTCCTCCACCTGGGATGTCAAAACACACCTATACCTAGGAGTCTCAGGAGCTGAGGGCTATCTGGCTGCTTCTCCTGAAATACAATTTTCTTTTCTTCTTGGCCCAACTCAGAAAGTTGGGTTTCAACACAGCAGTGGGAGAAAGGTCAGGTCTATAAAAGCCCCTTCAGAATCAGGGTTGCCAGGCAGGGTTCAGGATGGCAGTGGCTTGGAACACCTTCCCAGCTTCCACCTCAGCCCCTCCCACCCTGGACAGAAGCTTAGAGAGGCCAAATATTGAAGGCCACACCCTCGAGCAGGGCCAGGCCCCAGGGAGACCCAGGGTGGAGAGGTGGGGGGGTGTGGAGGGTGGACAAAAGGCCCAGAGCCTAACCCACAGGACTCAAATACCCTCCCAGTCAAGAGGGCACTTATTCCAACACCCACCTTCTTTCCTTGCCAAGCACCTACCTCCCCACTGTCTCCCTCTCCCATCCTCCTGGAGGGAAGGGCTGCCCAGCAGGCCAGGGTGGCTGGCACAACACCCACACCCCACACAAAAGCAGATGTGTGCTCCTTCAACACAGATCCTCCAGCTCCTGGGGGAGGGGCCCTGCGAGGCACGCAGCCTCTCCTGAGAGCCTGATCAGCACTCAGCCTTGCAAACACCCTTTCCCTCACCTCAGCTCTCAGAATGCTCCCTGTGTACCCATTTTCCAAGAAGCTGAGATTCCGCACAGCATAAAATGGGGCAGGCCAGGGATTGGGAATTCTGGGTGAGAAAGAGACCTCTGTGTTCAGGGGCACCAGCCACCCTGTCTAGGTGCAGGGCGCCTACAAACCCAGCTTCAGCTTTTTGCCCCTCACCTCTCTTCTTCTTCACCCAAGGTAGTCAACTTTGACCTCGCCCCACGTTCTTCCCACCAGTGGTGGGGTCCCCAGACCCTCAAAGGTAGAAAAGGCTGGGCAGCGGAAGACTGCTCACAGACCTCCGCTCCTGCCCACCTAGCTGGCTCGGGGAGGGAGGGCAAGGGGTAGGGAGAAACTTGAAAAGTGTTGCAGGGTAGTGGAGCCGCTGGCAAGGGTGGGTCGGGATTGGGAAGCGGGCTGCATTTTCCAGAGGTTGATTGGCAGGTGGGGGATGGCTGCCAGCACTGCCCCCACAGATGTCCAACCAGGAGCTGCCGGAGAAACCCCAGCCCTCCACCACAGCCCTCAGGGAACGCTCTGGGGAAGGTGGGACGGGCAGGATTTCTCTCTCCCCATCCCTGAGCTTCAGCCCTCCCGCCCCCTTCCGGAGCAAGAGTTGGATTTTTTCATTCTTAAGTTGCCGCAATTGGAACCTATGATTTAGAGGAACGAGAGCTCTCGTGGCGCGCGAGCATGTGTGTGCGTTTGCGTGCGCGTGGATGGGGACGGTCTGGTGTTCAAAGTCTCCTTCCCGATGCCCCTGCGTCCCCACAAGCCGCGGCTCCCGCGCCCGCCTGCATCCCCGCCGCCCGGGCTCGCTCCGAGCTCTCCCCACCGCTCCCCTGCGCCCCGGCCCCGCGCCCGGCTCGCCCCCCCGCGCTCCCCGCCTCCAGCCGGCGCCCCAACGCGCGGCCCCGCGCTGCCCCCCGGGCTTCCGCGGACGAGGTGCCCTCGCCGCCCGCGGGTACTCACCTAAAAAGAAGAAGAGGCAGAAGGCGTTTGCCAAGATCATGTTAAATAAATCCCACAGTTGTTTTTTTGTCTTTCTCCCTTGGGTAAAAAAAAATAACAATAATAACAGCCAAGCCGTGATAATCAGCCCCAAATCCAATGCGGAGATCCCAGCTAGTGCACCCGAGGAAGATCCCGAATCGTGCGATCCTCGCCTCTGGCTGGAGGGTGGGGGGAGAGGGCGACGGGCCGCCTCTCGACACCCCCGTGCCCACTAAAATCAAGCGACACGTCTATACGCGCAGATCTGCTCTAGAAGCCGGAGCCGGGTCCTGCGCGCTGCCCTCCCCGGCGCGGGTCCCGGCAGCGCGATCCCCGCGGGTCCGAGCCCCCCGCGCCTCCCAGAGGGGATGGGGAGGTGGCCAGAGGCGACCTGACAAGGTAGGGCTGGAGGGAGGCGGCGAGGGTGGGGGTCGGGATAAAATGCAAACAGAAAAGAAATCCACCGACGGGTGTCAGCGCCAGGGAACAATCCAGTGGGAGCCTCGAGGACGGGAGACGAGAGTCGCTTCTTTCGCACCAAGACGAAGAAGAAAAGATTCAAAAAAAAAAAAATCATCTCCCGCGAACCCCGGCTCGCCTCACTTTTTTCTAATGGAATTCCAGGGCCCGAGTGTCTCTGCGCGCGTGTCTCGCTCTCCGCTCCCTCCCGCGCCTCTCCCCGGCTCTCGCTCTTTGCTCTCGCTCTCCCCAGCTCTCCCTCGCCCGCTCTCCCTCCCCTTCCCCCTCTCCCGCTCCTCCCTCCGCCCGCCCCCTTCCCCCCGCGCGGCTCCCTCGCCGCGGCTCGCGCGCCCGCGCCCCTCTCCTCCGCCCGGGGCTCGGCGCTCCGGCTCCCAGGCGGCGGGCGGCGCGGGGCGCGGGGCGCGGGCGCGCGGCGGAGCAGCTCCACTCTGCAGCGGCGCCGGCGCCGGGGAAGGCTGGCGGGGAGCAGGCTCCGCCGCTGGCCCCCTCGGCTCGGCCGCGCGCCCTTCCCGGACTGACCTGCCGCCTGGGCCGGAAACCGACCGGCTCCCCGGGCCGCCGCTCGGGCGCAAACCCACCGAAGCCTCCGCCCGGCCGTCCCCAGCCCTTGCGCACCCCTCGGCCCCGACCTGGCACACGGCGAACGGGTAGCGCGCCCCGACCCCACCCCTGCCCCCGCGCCCCCGACCGACGGTCCCGAGGCTGGGGGTGTGGAGCCCGCGCGCCCGAGCCCCCCCCGGGGGAGGGGGGAAGGGCGCTGGAAAATCCGCGGCTGGGTGGTCTGGGGAGGAGACTCCCCCTCCGCGGATGGATGGTTCTTTCGACCCGGGCGTAGGTCAAGAGCGTCTTTCCAAGGATCCCTTTCTGTGTCTGCGCCCAGCGTCCGCGCACAGCCTGCCGGCGGGGATCTAGACCCGCGCACGCATGCACTTGTGCTCTCCACGCGGGGCTCTAGAACTTTCCCTGCACGCCCCGGCCTCGCAGCCCTGCCAGACCCCCTCGCTGGTCTCCCTTCCCCGGCGCAGGGACAAGGCGGTGGTGCCAGGGCGCCCTGACCGAGGCCCCACGAACCTGGCCCCACGAACCTGGCCGAACAGCGCGGGAGGGGTCGGGCAGGGCCTCGCACCCCAGCCTGGCGAGAGCGCCCGAGACCCACCCAGGCCGAGCTCCACGCCAGGCTCGGCCGCGGGCTTGGCTCCCGGGAGCGCTCGCCACGCAGCCCGCAGCTCCCGGCTTGCGAGGCGCTGGGTGGGGCCTCCCTCCCCCAGCCGGGAAGGGGGCGATTGATCCATCTGTCGATGGGCCGGGCTCACTGGCGTGTTTTAGTCACGGAATTTACAATAAACGCCCAGAAGCACCAAAAAGGAAGCGTCTGGCTGGGAAAGGCTGAAGCAGAGGTGAGGGATTGCCGACGCGCTCCCGCAAGAGGAAGCGCAGTGGCGGGGCTGTGGCCAGGGGAGATGCACTCCCGCGCGCAGGGGCCCCCTGTTTCACGCTCCCCCCGGCACATCCTCAGCCTCGGTAGAACTGCCCTGTACCCCTCAACCCTTGTGCACACAGTCCTGCAGGCAGCTCCAGGGAGCCTGTGTTACTGGGGTGGGGTGCACCCGCCTAGTAAACTTTCTGTGCCACCCCAAACCGGGTGTTGGCTCGATCTGCAGTGTGTTGGGTAGTGCCTCTTAAGCTGCATTTTGAAATGAACAAGACTCTGGAAGAGAGTAAATGCTAAAAATCGACTTGGGCGCGAAGGGAGGGGTCACTCACAGAATCAGCCGCCTTCAGCAGTGGAAAAGCTAGAGGGAGCAACTTCCATCTTGCAGATTTAGGCGGGAACCCGGCTTCTCTAGGCTTGCAATGACAGAGCGCCGGCCTCCTCCTAAAGCCAAGCCACCCCAGGCGGCTTTGGCCTTCGGCTGCGCGCCGACACTTGGCCCCCTCCCGCCCCCTCCCCCGCGCATACACAGTGGCACGGGCAGGAGGTGCGGCTCTAGTGGCTCTGGTGGGTTGGTGGAGGGCCTGGGCGAAGAGGGCTTGGAGATTGGAGCAGAGAGAAACCCCTTCCGCGGCCCTCTGTCATTCCTTGGGGTCTGGCCAGTTCTTCACATCTGACACGGTCCCTTGGCTTCTTCCCAAAAATCGTGGACTAAAGGAACTGGCTTCAGAAACGTGTGGGTTAAAGGATGGAAGCCCACAGGACTTATACACTGCCTGGCAGTCCAGGACCAGAAGCCAGAATCTGGGATCCTGGTGTCCGTGACTCTTCTCCCCTCTCCCCCAAACCACCAGTGCCTTGTGGCCAGCCAAATACCCCCCCCACACACACACAAACACACACACACTTTAATATTACAGGAAGATCTTTCTCTCCCAAGGAACCTTTTCCAGGCTCCAAAATTATCGCTAGCCATCCCTCTCCCTCCCTCCCCACCCACCCCAGAAAAATGTTCCGCTTTCTTTTAACTCTGGCTGGACAAAAGAAAGAAAACACTTTGAAACATGTGTGGAGCTTTTGTCTGCCTCTTCTCCAGTGAAGGGGGCTGAGAAAGCAGCAAATGGCTACCCAGCGTGGCGCCCACCTGTTTCCCATAGTAGGGGAGAAACCTGGTAGCAGGCATGAGTGGCTGAGGGGCTCACCCCGTCTTCACAGGGAAATGGACACCACCAGCCAAGACCATTCAATTTGTGTGGGTGGGGCACCCTTGACCTTGTACCCTCTCCCTTCCTGTCTGTACAAGGGTTTCCCACTGCACTTGCTCTCTGCTAACTTGAATCCTCAGCCTGCGCTGCCCTTAGATGGGGAGGCGTCAAGTGTCACACCTTATTTCCTGAGCATCTGCTTTGGGTAAAGCCACTCTGCCAGGATCTGCAGAGAAAGCAGGGATTTAAAAAAAAAAAAATTTGTAGACATTAGATGAGATACTATACACAGAGCAGTGGAATACCTGGCTCCTAGAAATCATCATAAAATGTTACCCTTTCTCCCTGGGATCCAGAGAAAAAATTTGGAAACTATGACAAGATTAAATGAGAAAGAGATTACTTTGAAGGGATCAAGGACAGAAGATCTTACAAGAAGAGTCCTGGGAGAATTGAGAGCCTCTCAGCGGAGACCCACAAACAGGTTCACTGATACAACTTCCTCCCCCATGAGGGCCCATCCCAGCTGCTCCTGCCCACCCAAGTGGACCCTTTGCCCATCACAGATTCAGCGGCTTTCTTGTGCAGGGGGAAGGGAAGACAGCGCTTAGCCTTTTATTTCTTCCCCAGGCAAGAATGGGAAGGCACCAAGGGCACAGGAGGAGAGGGTGCTGGTGGGAGAAGATCTGGAAGGTCCAACTGGGATGCTCGGTGGAGGACCAGGCATTGAAGACTTTGGGTTTGCAACCCTAGCAGCCACTGAAAGTTTTTGAGTAGGAGACTGACATGACAAGAATGGTGTTTTAGGAAGATTGATCTGACAAATCTGTGAAGGATAGAGACAAGAGACCAGTTAGAAGGCGACTGTTAACAGTTTCTGCTGAGGTAATAAGGACCCCAAACAGGAGGAGGCGGCGGTGGGCATGGACAGGAGGAGTGGATATCAGAAGCATTGTAAAGATGAATTGGCAAGATGATGGTGACAGACACAGCAAGAGACAGGGAGGAGGGGAGCTGGCACCCATGACAGTAGCCAGGCCAGGACAAAGTCACCAGCCTGCCTTCTCAGGCTTGGCGATTGTAAAACATCATTAAGTGACCAGATGTATAGCAAGATACATGTTGATATCCCTTTAATTCTTACAACTCTGTGGGGTAAATACTATTAATAGCTCCATTTACAAAAGAAAAAACTGAGGCCAAAGAAGTGTTTTAAGGGCCTCCCTAGTGGCCAAGGGGTTAAGTCTCCGGGCTATCGTCTGACGTCCTGAGTTCGATCCCTGGTCAGGGAGCTGACCCACATATTGCAGCAGACCTCTCCTGTCTCGCCCACTACTTCCCTTAGCAGTGTATTTCAGTAAATCCACCTGCTCTGCTCCCCACTCTGTCTCTGGTGAATCCTCACACACACACACACACACACACACACCACCTCTGGCCTACACCCCAGTTCTATACAAAAATAAAATATTTTTTTAAGTATTTAAGTAGAACCAGAGCTAAATGCTCTCTTACCCTCTCCTAGCACAACAAAGCTATTGGATCTGCGATGGGCAAGGGTCCACTTGGGTGGGCAGCTGGGATCCAAGGTGCTGCCCTGGTAACCTCTATATCTTGAATGAAGAAGCAAGGTGACAGCTCTCCAGGCTGTAAATTTTCATGTCCCAGTCAGAATATCTTAAATATTCCCTGTCTCCTTGCTCTGTCCAGCAACAGTGTAAAGAATCATGAGAGGGCCTCCTTCGTGGCACGGGGGTTAAGACGCAACCTATGAAAATGTCCACAGCCTCAGCAGCCTCTGTAGCGTGAGTTCGATCCCAGCCAGCCAGGGAGCTACCCACATGGCGCAGCAGACCTTTCCTGCCTCACCCACTGCTCCCCTCAGCAGTGTATTTCAGTCAGCCCACCTGTTCTGCTTCCCACTCTTTCTCTGGTGAATCCTCTCACCCCCACACACACACACCTCTGGCCTGTACCCCAGCTCTTGTATGCATAAATAAATCTTTAAAACAAACAAACAAAAAAAAGAAATCATGAGAATCAAAATCTCTTTTTTATCTTTTCTGTGGCCTTCTCTGATCTAACCTTTGGAGTTCAGGTGGTAAACCAAGAGAGGAGTCACTCATCAATTTCCCAGTCCTGCCCCAGCCTCCAGGAACAACCTCTCCAGGCCGATACTCCCTCTCCAACATTCCCTCCCTGCTGGGCCACTCCAGATCCCCAAGACCTGGCCTGGATGAAAAGAACTAGCCCAGGAAAGGACACCAGCAGAGATTCCACTGAGCCATCTGATTCCCAAAGAGTGAACAGGCTGATGGGCAGGGTGGGTGGGACGGGCCAGGAGGGGAGAAGTGCATACTGCACCCGGGCATTGATTTCTCGAATTGATTTCGGTCAGTGTTCTCCATGCTTCATCATTCTCTTTAAAGTCAGTGTTGCAGGAGGTGGGAATCTGGCTTTACTTAGCCTCTCCCCAGGGCCTCCAAGACCTCGCTGCAGCTCCACCTAGGCCAGGGAGCCCCAAGCCTCCTACAAGCACATTACAGGGGTCAAGCTGTTG